TATAGTTATTAATAGTCGTATAAGTTAATAGTCGTATAAGTTAATATACACTACCGGTCAAAAGTTTGGGTTTAGTTTGTTTTTTTTGCAGTTTTTTTTGTTTAAAGAAATGTATTCTGTTCATAAAGGCTTGTTTGTTAATTGTTAAATATTTCAAAAAATTTTAAATAACTGCTTTATTATTGTATGTAGTTTTAAATGAAATTATTACTCCCCTCATTATGTCTTTTATTACTATTATCATTGATAATAATGGGTGGTGCAGTGGTTAGTGTTGCCTCACAGCAAGAAGGTCGATGGTTCAAGCCTCGGCTGGGTCAGTTGACATTTGTGTGACATTTGTGAAGTTTGCATGCTCTCCCCCTGTTGGTGTGGGTTTGCTCCGGGTGCTCCGGTGTCCCCCTAAGTCCAAAGACATGCACTAGGTGAATTGGGTATGCTAAATTGTTCGTAGTGTATGTGTATGGGTGTTTCCCAGTGATAGGTTGCATCTGGAAGGGCATTCGCTGTGTAAAACATAGGCTGGATAAGTTGGCAGTTCATTCCACTCTGGCAACCCCTTAATAAAGGGACTTAGCCGAAAAGAAAATGAATGAATGAATGAATGAATTAATTATTAAAAAAATAAATAACTAACAATAACAACAACAACAACAACAACAACAATAATAATAATAATAATAATAATAATAATAATAAGAGTGATTTCTGAAAGATCATGTGACTCTGAAGACTGGAGTAATAAAGCTGAATATTCATTTTTAAAATCACTGTAATAAATTAAAGTTAAAAGCTAAATTATAAACTACTTTTGTACAGTTATTTCACAATTTTACAATTTGTACTTTTTTATTAAATAAATGCAGCCTTGGTAACAGGAGAAGCTTATTTTAAAACATTTAAAAATCCTACTGACCCCAAACTTTTGAGCGGTGGTGTATATATAGTTTTATATATTTTAGTTAACAATTTATCAATATGACTCTTTTGTCAATTTTATTACTTTAATGTGTAAAGAAAAGTTTCAATCAAATTTATTTAAGATTTTTGTATTTAATTTTAATTACTTTTGGCAATAAATAGCAATACAATAAATGAAATAATGTTACATTTTTTCCAGTTGATTTTTATTAAAAAATTGTTTTAATAAAAAATAACTTTTTATATTTTAGTTAATAAATATACATGTATATATATATTTGTTATATATACAGTTAAAGTCAGAATTATTAGCCCCCCTGACTTATTAGCACCCCTGTTTATTTTTTTCCCCAATTTCTGTTTAATGGAGGGAAGATTTTTTCAGCACATTTCTCAAGCATAATAGTTTTAGAAACCTATTTCTAATAACTGATTAATTTCATCTTTGTCATGATGACAGTAAATTATATTTTACTTGATATTTTTCAAAACACTTCTGTACAGCTTAAAGTGACATTTAAAGGCTTAACTAGGTTAATAAGGTGAACTAGGCAGGTTAGGGTAATTAAGGAAGTTATTGTATAACGATGGTTTGTTCTGTAGACAGTCGAAAAAAAATTTGTTTAAAGGGGCTAATCATTTTGTCACAAAATTGGTTTAAAAAAAAAACTAAAAAAAAAAAAAATTTAAAAACGGCTATTATTCTTGCTGAAATAAAACAAATAAGACTTTCTCCAGAAGATATTTTGGGAAATATTAAAAAAAAAAATAAAAAATCCAAAGGGGGCTAAAAATTCTGACTTTGACTTTATATATATATATATATGTGTGTGTGTGTGTGTGTGTGTGTGTGTGTTTTATGTTGTTTTAAACGCTATATCTTATGTTTATTACAGTGTCTATTATTTTAAAGTTTATTATAAAGTCGTCATTATGTACTTAAACATTTGCCAATAACCGAAGCGTTTCCTTAGGATCAAGTCTTAAGAAATTCACCTGATTATTTTATTATACGTTACATGACTAAAATTAAATCTGTGTCAATTCATGTTTAAGTGCTCATCTTTGTGTGTTATACTGTACTTTCCAGGTGGAGATTGTGACCCACACCGGCCCCCACAGGAGACTGTGGATGGGCCCTCAGTTTCAGTTCAAGACCATCCATCCCTCAGGTCAGACCACCGTCATCTCCTCAAGCTCCTCTGTACTACAGTCGCAGGGGCCCAGCGACACCCAGCAGCCTCTTCTTGATTTCGACACAGACGACCTGGACCTGCACAGCCTCAGGTGCCGCTGCTAAACACACAGTCACACACAACACTGCTCACATTACCAGCCACCATCATCAACACCAAGTTCAAAATCTGACAGCGTAGACTCAGGTTACTAACCACAGAACGCCACTGGATACACAGATTGACCAACTTTAGAGCAGCACTCTCTGAGCAGCACACTGTGAATACTTCAACTGTCTGTCATTCCTCCATTTCTTTATTCCAGTAGTTTGTCTGTCAGTCTGTCTGTCTGTCTGTCTGTCTGTCTGTCTGTCTGTCTGTCTGTCAGTCTGACTGTCTGTCTGTCTGACTGTCTGTGTGTGTGTGTGTGTGTGTGTGTGTGTGTGTGTGTGTGTGTGTGTGTGTGTCTGTCTGTCTGTCTGTCTGTCATTTTGCCTATAGGTCTGTATTTTTTTTTTGTTATTCTGTCATTCAGTCGTTCTATTTGTCTGTCTGCCGCTCTGTCATTCTGTCTGTAGTTCTGTCATTCGGTCTGTCATTCTGTTGTCATTCTGTCATCTATCCTTCTATCTGTCCTTCTATCTATCATTCCATCCATCCATCCATCCATCTAGATATCCATCCATCCGTCCGTCAGTCTGTTAGTCCGTCTGTCTGTCCGTCTGTCCGTCTGTCCGTCTGTCTGTCTGTCTGTCTGTCTATCTATTTATCCTTCTTTCATTCTTTTGTTCTGTTTAATTTGTATCTCTATCATTCCACTTTGTTCCTGTGTTCATTCTATTTGTCATGCAGTTTGTTTAATCTACTGTTCTATCTCTAAGTCTTTCTATGTATCATATATCTGTCTGTTGTTCCGTAATTTATTCCTTTCTACTATATATATACACGCATGATCGCGTTCATCAAAATTGCTTAAACTAAGCATTCTAAAGTATGACTGTATTTCACAAGGATTCTGACACAACAACGCGAAGCAGACGCTTCTTTTGCATTTAAGGAGGAAACACGTCAAACTTAATGACACATTGGAGCGCACGTGCTGAAAGGCAGAGAAATGACAACTCGCGACTTCATCTGACACATTCTGAGTACTTGTACATGGACACCAATACTCCGATTTTAATGTGATTAAGATAATACACTTATTAAGAGTCTACAGTGTAACCAGCAATTTTTTATCTTAAAGGACCACGAGTCACAAAATGCAGAGGTTTTTCTTTCCGTTCACCATGCGTTAAAACAGAAGGCGAAAGTAAAAAATGTAACACCCCAAATTGCATGAAACTCTGGATAGCCTGGTGATGCGACATTCATTCATTAATTTTCTTGTAGGCTTAATCCCTTTTATTAACAGGGGTTGCCACAGCGGAATGAACCGCCAACTCATCCAGCAAGTTTTTTAAGCAGCGGATGCCCTTCCAGCCGCAACCCATTTCTGGGAAAGTGATGCGACATTAATTGTTTTATACTGAAACTTGCCTTCAAAAACTGCTTTCTTGGTCTTGTCCATATTTTTTTGCATGTTAAACACACGTCTACCACAACAGGTAGAAAAAAATTCAAAAAAATGCAACTGCGTTAATTGCGTAAATTTTTTTTTACGCGTTATAATATATATATATATACTGTGAGTGCCAATCTTTCATTCTATTTCTTTCTGTTTGTTATGTGTTCATTTATTTCTATGTTCGAATCATTCAATCTTCGTTTTATTACAGTTATTTTTACGTTTTTTTTCCCCTAATCACATTCTATGCGTGTGCAATACATTATGCTTTTCAAAGACTTTTATTTTTGGAGGTTTATATAGACTCTGACATTGTGGGGTTTTTGAACTATGAAACTTTAAATCCCATTTTCAAATGTGCTGTATGTGTTTCAGTCCCGAAAATGGTCTTGAAATTAGCAACCATTATCACTTAATGCTGTTGCTAATGCTACTGTTATTATTTTTTTTCAGAATTCAGCCAGTTCGTTCAGAGCCTGTTAGCATGCCTGGTTCCTCCCGCCTGGTGGCTGATCGCAGAGGCCAATCTACAGTAATAGATACCGGCTCAGGTAAGACCACTGGTCTTTTCCACTAGATCTGAAGCTCTTCAATCCAAACAACCCTTGTCAGCGTGATGAATCTGCATGTGCTTTTCACATGACTCAAGGTCCTTTTCAATCAGTTTGGCTGCGTATAATACGATTTTATGTGCTTAAGTTTCATGGTATGCTAAACAGAGACTATTGCAACCTGTCTGAAAAAAGAGAAAATAGGCTTACTCTGACCTTTGCATTAGATCAGATGGATGCTGTTTAAAGGGATTTAATCTTCTTTTTTCATTTTTCCGGTTGTCATTTTAACATAATCCAATCAAAGGAGATCTGCTTGTACTTTTTCTCCGTTTTGACTGTCTTTATATGTAGATATACAGCCTCCTAAACAAACCAAAATCTATTGAGGACTCAAAGTACAATGCAGTGTTTGCTCTTTTGCAGTCTCAGAGTGATATTCTGCTGTGTATGCTCACACATGCATGTGTACGGCACCGTCTTTCACGTTTCATTGAAATCAAACTGGCGCATTTGCAAAGCTCCACAATGCAGTTTGTCAGTAGAAGGTAGGCTGTGTTGACTGTTGTGATGTTTAGTGCTCAGCCTGTAGACACACATTAGCTGCATGGCACTGTCAGGAGTTTTCATCTTTAAGATTGCACTGACTAGCCGCCGTGTCTTTAGACATACCTGCTGTTCCTTTGCATCTACTGACTTCCTGTCAAGAAAAGTGTCTCGTCATCACCTTACGTCTAAACCCTCACCTCCAAAAGAAAGAAAGTATCTATCTTTATCACACAGCTCTCCTCCCTGTGTTTCTGTGTCTGGAGGAGAGCTGCCGGAGTCGTCTTTATGGGCCGATGCTTATCAGTCTGTGTGTGATTGCTCAGCTCTCAGGGCTTCAAGCAGTGGCGCCTCCTCTTATCAGCGCTCATCGCTTTGTCTTTATGTCTTCAAAAGAGCGCACGGCCCTGTTTGTCCCTCCGAGCACAGACGCACCTCCTCTGCCGTGATGTCTCTCTCTTTCTCTCTCTAGTCCAGGCTGTCCTGGAGGATCTAATGCCATCCTGAAGGACAACGGCTCTGCCTTGTTTGCTGTTCAGGGCCAGTTTAGACTGTCTGTCACCCATTTGCAGTTTCTTGACTGCGTGTATGGGCTTGTGTGCTCTATTTAAATGCGTGTAAGTTGCTTTTGTAAGGGAAATTAATAAGCTTAGTTGGAAGCTTAATTGAAGAAAAAGGTACTATATGTAATAAAATGTATACTGTACATATACACATATAATTAGGGACCGAGCACCGAACGGTGCAAGGCCCTATTGGAATTGCTCCGTTTCTTATTATTAGGGACCGAGCACCGAAACGGTGCGTAGGCCCTATTGGAATTGCTCCGTTTATTATTATTATTATTATTATTATTCTCCTGCGGAATGAATCGCGGTTTTGAGGGGCTAAACATGCCCGAAAACTCACGCAACTTTGCACACGCCTCAGAAGTGGCGAAAATTTACGTTTGTTATGGGCTTCGGAAGTGGGCGTGGCAAAATGACTCGACAGCGCCACCTAGAAAAATTAAACGGACGAGCCCCCGATCCACGAATCACGCACATGCACAAAAACTGGCACACACCTCAAACATGCCAAAACATACGAAAAAGTCTCTTGGAGCCATATCTCAAACCCAACAGGAAGTCGGATATTTTTAACTTCCTGCGGCGAAAAAGTGGCGTTTTTGCCATTTCCAGGCGTTGTATTTTAACGAACTCCTCCTAGGGATTTTATCCGATCGACACCAGAATTGGGTTTTGTCATCTAAAGGCCTTGGCGATGTTAAATTGCGAAGCTTTAGAGTTTTCGTCAATGGGCGTGTCCGTGGCGGCCTCGCAAACTTTGACGATTCGCCACAAAAGAGGAAGTAGTTATAACTCAGGCATGCATTATCAGATCTGCCTCAAAATTCACACGCTTGATAAGAGTCCTGACCTGAACACGTTTACATGCCGCTATCCAGATACAGTTACAGCGCCACCTGCTGGCCACAGGAAATGACATGATTTACGGAGTTATAAACTCCTCCCACAAATTTTATCGTATCAACACCAAAATTGAGTGGTGTTATCTGAAAGCTCTAGCGATGTTATATTGTGAAGATCTAGAGTTTTCGCAGAGGGGTGTGTCCGTGGCGGTATGACAAACCTCAACGCTTCGCCATGGAACAGGAAGTCCTTATAACACAACCACACAATGTCCGATTTGCCTGAAACTTCACATGGTTGATAAACGTCATCTCTTGAACACATCCACATAACAATATTGAAGTGGGCGTGGCAAAATGACTCGACAGCGCCACCTAGAAAAATTAAACGGACGAGCCCCCGATCTACGAATCACGCACATGCACAAAAATTGGCACACACCTCAAACATGGCAAAACATACGAAAAAGTCTCTTGGAGCCATATCTCAAACCCAACAGGAAGTTGGATATTTTTTACTTCCTGTGGCGAAAAAGTGGCTCTTTTGCCATTTTCAGGCGTTGTATTTTAACAAACTCCTCCTAGGGATTTTATCTGATAATTACCAAAATTGGGTTTTGTCATCTTAAAGCCTTGGTGATGTTAAATTGCGAAGCTTTAGAGTTTTCATAGATGGGCGTATCCGTGGCGGCCTCGCAAACTTTGATGATTCGCCACAAAACAGGAAGTCTTTATAACTCAGGCATGCATTATTCGATCTGCCTCAAAATTCACACATTTAATAACAGTCCTGACCTGATCAGGTTTACGTGCCGATATCTAGTTACAGTTATAGCGCCACCTGCTGGCCACAGGAAATTACATGTTTGACACTGTAACAAACTCCTTCCACAAACTTTCCCGTATCAGCACCAAAATAGAGTGGTGTCATCTGAAAGCTCTAGCGATGATATATTGTGAAGATCTAGAGTTTTTGCAGAAGGGCGTGTCTGTGGTGGCATGACAAACCTCAACGCTTCGCCATGGAACAGGAATTTCTTATAACTCAACCACACAATGTCCGATCTGCCTGAAACTTCACATGGTTGATAAAAGTCCGCTCCTGAACACATCCACATAACAATATTGAGTCAGTCATAATGCCACCTGCTGGCAGAAGGTAGTTTGGCTTATAACTCAGCCACACAATGTCCCATGTGCCTGAAACTTCACATGGTTGATAAGATTCCTCTCCTGAAGACATCTACATGCCAATCTTAAGTCACAGTTATAGCGCCACCTGCTGACAGGAGGAAGTTTGGCATAAATCTGTGATTTTCTTAGATCTTTTTTTATATATTGGCTTAAATTATTATTGTTCGCTGTTCTCTGTCATCGTAAGGTCACCGGGCGGCGGTGAGCCCGGGTGCGAGGTCCCTATCATCGCTGCTTGCAGCTTTAATTCTTCTTCTTCTTCTTCTTCTTCTTCCGCGGAATGAATCGCGGTTTTGAGGGGCTAAACATGCCCGAAAACTCACGAAACTTCGCACACGCCTCAGAAGTGGTGAAAATTTACGTTTATTATGGGTCTCGGAAAGGGGTGTGGCAAAATGACTCGACAGCGCCACCTAGAAAATTTAAACTGACGAGCCCCCGATCCACGAATCACGCAAATGCACGAAAATTGGCACACACCTCAAACACGCCAAAACATACGAAAAAGTCTCTTGGAGCCATATCTCAAACCCAACAGGAAGTCGGATATTTTTAACTTCCTGCGGCGAAAAAGTGTCATTTTTGCCATTTCTAGCCGTTGTATTTTAACGAACTCCTCCTAGAGATTTTATCCGATTGACACCAAAATTGGGTTTTGTCATCTAAAGGCCTTGGCGATGTTAAATTGCGAAGCTTTAGAGTTTTCGTCGATGGGCGTGTCCGTGGCGGCCTCGCAAACTTTGACGATTCGCCACAAAACAGGAAGTCGTTATAACTCAGGCATGCATTATCCGATCTGCCTCAAAATTCACACGTTTGATAAGAGTCCTGACCTGAACAAGTTTACATGCCGATATCCAGATACAGTTATAGTGCCACCTGCTGGCCACAGGAAATGACATGTTTTACATCGTAACAAACTCCTCCCACAAATTTTTTCGTATCAGCACCAAATTTGGGTTGTGTTATCTGAAAGCTCTAGCGATGATATATTGTGAAGATCTAGAGTTTTCGGAGAGGGGCGTGTCCGTGGCGGCATGACAAACCTCAACGCTTCGCCATGGAACAGGAAGTCCTTATATCTCAAGCACACAATGTCCGATCTGCCTGAAACTTCACATGGTTGATAAAAGTCCTCTCCTGAACACATCCTCATAACAATAATGAAATGGGTGTGGCAAAATGACTCGACAGCGCCACCTATAAAAATTAAACGGACGAGCCCCTGATCTACGAATCACGCACATGCATGAAAATTGGCACACACCTTAAACACGCCAAAACATACGAAAAAGTCTCTTGGAGCCATATCTCAAACCAAACAGGAAGTCGGATATTTTTAACTTCCTGCGGCAAATAAGTGGCATTTTTGCCATTTCCAGGCTTTGTATCTTAACGAACTCCTCCTAGGGATTTTATCCTATCGACACCAAAATTGGGTTTTGTCATCTAAAGGCCTTGGCGATGTTAAATTGCGAAGCTTTAGAGTTTTCGTTGATGGGCGTGTCCGTGGCGGCCTCGCAAACTTTGACGATTTGCCACAAAACCGGAAGTCATTATAACTCAGGCATGCATTATCCGATCTGCCTCAAAATTCACATGTTTAATATAAGTCCAGACCAGAACAAGTTTACATGCCGATATCCAGATACAGTTATAGCGCCCGCTGGCCACAGAAAATGTCATGATTTACAAAGTAATAAACTCATCCCACAAATTTTTTCATATCAGCGCCAAATTTGGGTGGTTGTGTATCTGAAAGCTCAAGCGATGATATATTGTGAAGATCTAGAGTTTTCGCAGAGGGGCGTGTCTGTGGTGGCATGACAAACCTCAACGCTTCGCCATG